ATAAAGAATTTTATACTCTACATTGATGCTGTTCTTTTTTTCCAAATTTCAATTTTTTCACCCTTTTCAGCTTATTACTATATGATATCGTTAAGCGATTTTCGACCAAGTTTTGTCTACTTCAATCTGTAATAGCTCGATGAATATTTATTGAATCTAATCGAAATAAGCGTCATTTGAATCAGTGCATTTTTGCCAATGTAATACGAATCGATTAATTCCGTCAGCATGAAAATTGAGTGCTCGGGATTCGATGAAGTCGAAAGTCGTTTTTGTCTGGTCCTGATTGGCGAAGGTTCTACCGGTGAGAAGGGTATCGAAGTGCTTGAAAAGATGGTAGTCGGTTGGCGACAGGTCTGGAGAATATAGTGGCTGAGACCTCTTTTGTTGACCAGGTTGGCTGCCGCTGACGCAATTTCCGGACCATTTCGTCGATTTTCTCACACTAAAACCCTGCTGTGATGGTTTGATCCGGTTGCATATAGTACCATGATCTTTTTTGATGGGTTTTCGCCATTGCAAAGTACCTGGGTTGCTCATAGGTATCCAACCACTGCCCTAAACGTCTCCTGTTGTCGCAGAGGATCTGCTTTTTATCACACCTGACGATCCAATCCAAAAAAAGGATAGTTTTGGCGCAAACGCAAAAAAGAACAAACCGTGGGGCACCCAATTTTTGACCTTTTAAACGTTTTAAAGCATCAAAAGCCGCATGGTCGCTGACGCAGTTCGTGGCAATTAATGTGGTAATTGCTATTATGTCGAGGAGTTCTTCGACAGAATCGCAAAATGCCACGAATTAAAGCATCAAAAGCCGCATGGTCGCTGACGCAGTTCGTGGCAATTAATGTGGTAATTGCTATTATGTTGAGGAATTCTTCGACAGAATCGCAAAATACCAAGCAGAAATAGGAATTCTTCACAGGATATAATTTTTATTTTTAATGTCACACAGTTTCTAGCCTCAATGTTGTAAATAGTATCAACTTCATGAAATGTTAATGTATTGTTGCTAATAACCCTAGGGGTTGATGCAACTTAAATTTTTTCAAATAAAAAAAAGTTCTGATGATTTCTAGGAATAATATTCAACTATATTAAAGTGACGGCCGGTCAAATATATCAGAAGATTAAATAGAAAAACACATATTTCTGTCATCAGCATAAAGGTGAGATCTGGAAAATTTCGATGTATATAAAATGAAAGAGAAGGGGCCTAAATACTCCCGTGTGGCACACCCAAAGTTATTTTTAGCCAGGCATTTATGCAAGTAATCTCACAGAGGAATGTCTTGCAGATGCTTTTTGTTCGATAGCATTTTCGGATTCCCATTTTCCTTAAACGATTTTTGAATTTCAAAAAGATTAACTGTGTCAGGTGCATTCCCATATCGATCGCGATTCGCGGTCGACTCCTATAACAATATAAATAAAAAACTTTCAATCAATATCAGCAAATTCAACGATAAATAAAACAAACAAGATAACGTCGACGATAATGTTTTAAAGAAACATAGAACAAAGGTGTACGTTAACGACATAGTTAACAGTTTCAATTAATAGCGCAATTACCGCTACCTACGCCGAATTACTTCTACTCAAAGAAAGCCAACGGCCACCTAGTAAAATGGCACGTGAGATAAACACAAAAGCACAGTGAAGATCCAACTGGCAAGATCGCTACACCTTTGCCCGGTAAATATCGCTATCTGGCGGACAAACAATACACGATCGCACCTGTCCCGCTACTACCTGAGACAGGTGAGTGGGGATTGCCGTCACGTGACGCGATTTTTCACGTAAAAAACGAGTTTACCGCACCTTCTGCTTCCCCCCAGAGTCGCTCGAAAAACAAACCGTCATCTAGCTAGAGTGTGGGTGCGCGAAGAAGACTTCTTAGACGAGCTCGTCCACAATTACCGTCCAAAAAGAAAGTGTGATTAATAAATAATTACGTGTAATGCGAGCTGACATAGCTTTAAAGTGGGGGCTAGTGCACCTTTCTTTGTTTCAATGCAACGAATATTTTGTTTGCGATCGAAGGTGAAGTGATTGTTTTGATACACCGAGTTTAAATATCCAGCAGGCTATGCCAGGACCGAAATAAAAGAACATGAGTGTTTTTCGGACGTTTTTACGGTGCGTCCTGGTGCAATTGAGTTTAGTTCTTGCTCAGGGAAGTGTAGTGGACAAATCTAAACGCGGCACCCTAACAGAGTTATCTGGTGGTACCATCGTCAACGACAGGTTGGTTATTTCAAAATCTGGCAGTCCTTACTGGTTGAGGAATGATATCATCGTTGAGAGAAGTGCTGAATTAGTCATAGAAGCTGGTGTTACTATCAAAGTTTCGCCACAAGTGGGGATTACCGTTCGAGGTGTTTTGACAGCCGAGGTTAGTACCACAAAATGTTACCATAACTATTTTTTGANTTTTTTGTATTAATATTGTGAATATCCCTTGTCACAACAATGAATGTAACTTGACAAATGGCAAACATCTCTAACAATTAAATGTTTGTAGATTTCCTTCCCGTAGAGTAGACTAATAAAGTTATTTTTATCCCTTTTTCGTTTACATTTATTTGCTACGGATAAAAGAGTTGTATTTTTAGAGGTTTTACCCAACATTAAACCTGAGCCGCCACTGGACTTCTTATTATTGGAATTAACATTGCCAAATTTTACCAAAATTCGATGTTTACCAAACTTTCAAGAGAAGTTTGCATTTCCGGAAGTGTGCTTAATGTTTTTTTTTTCATAAAACTATCTTCTCAACAAGCTCTTATACCTATTTTTTCTTCGCAATCAGGAGACACCCTTTATAATATTATTAATAATCTTATCAGGATTGCTATAAGGGGCATATATGATGTATGTCCTGAAATAATGTAGAAATGTGTTGAATATATTATAATTGAAGAATAAATTCAGGAAATACAGGAAAAATTGTGTATACATATAAAAATACGTACTGCATATTTGAATTATATTTTTTTTTTCAAATATTTTTGCCAACTCAGCTGAGAAAATATCGACCAATAAAAACTAGTTGATATCTATTGTTCAGGTTTCAATTTCGTAAATTCCCCTTGTCTCTTTCTACATATTAAATTAGAAGCCTTCATTATATTTTCATATTTGTTACTTGCTGATAATGTAGCTTTCAATAGGCAAGAGAATTCAAATCGAGATTATACATTACAAATATATATTTTTCTTAGTTCAATATATGTACATGTGAATGAAAATAAATAGAGGAATTATTGAATATATCACTCCATAATTTTTTCACACATTTTTCAAGATCGCCTCCTCCTCGAGAAACATTTCACTTTTTTTTTCACATACATGGTCCCCTCTACGTGGTTATCCGAACCACCCGGCCTGGATACCGGCGTGAATAATAGGGACCCTCACTTAACGTTTGATAAAAACTTACACATATAGTTTGCTTCGACGGACAATGACAAATTCAATGATTTTTTGTAACTTGAAATTCTGTAAACAAATAGCTTGAATTTCAAAACCTGAAGATACACTTTTCCATTTGTGATGCATTGTTGAATATGGTACCACAAGATTCTATTTTGGACTGATAATATTTTCATACATCAGTCAGTCAAATTGATCTGATATATGATGGAATTGATCTGACCAAATTTTTGGGCAAAATTCAAATGTTGATACTTTCAAATTAGTGGGATTCAAAGGAGGTGGATTTTAAAAATTGTTATGTGATGTTTCACCTTCTACATTACTCTAATAAACAGATATATCGTTAACTCTATATAATAAACATGTTTGTTGAAAAAATCATCAAATTATTTGTGAACAAACAAGAACTCTTTTGTTTGTTGAAGAATATGTTTGTCAAAAATTATTTTCTTGTTTTGCAAAGGCTTTTGGGGAGTTTTATTTCCCATTGCCCTACTTATTTCTGCCACTGACTCCAGTCCCCTGGCTAACCCAAGCCTAACCCAAGCCTAACCCAAGGGTTATTGGAATCCTTGTTCTATCATAATGAACCATACATAATGCATAGGTTTGTTAAAAAATCATTTTTGACATACTCCAACGATGATCTGTTATCATTGATCAAATTTCAGGGACAATTCTTCGAAATTTTCAAAAATGTGTACAGGATGTTTCTCATCAATATTTTATAATATTTGAAAGGTTTCTTTTTGGCCCATTTCGAGAAAAAATTAATATTGGAGTGTTTTTGAAAAACATCCTGTATAGATACACATTTTGATGAATCATTTCAGTTCGACAATTTCTTGCCTCATCTAGTTTGACGGTTCGTTACAACTATTCACAAATAGCTTGTTAATTACATATTATTATGTAGCAATGACACTCCTTTTCTAGAAAGTCTAGCTACTGCACGACGTGACTGTGGCGTCCCAAACAGTTATGATACATGCCGTGGTATTTTCAAGAAAACCACGTCACTTCGAGGCTTATTGTAAATTATCTACTAGTGAGTCACATCAACTAACAAATACACGTCAAAAATGTAGGTTGAGAGGTGTTTCATTTATTGGATTATATACGTGAAGTTTTATCAGTGGATTATAAAACATGTCTTATGAGACTTGGAGGTTATGAATGTTTGAGTTCAAAGCTGCAGTGGAGATTCAAATAACGATCATACAAATCTTCATTTTCAGAAATATAAAATATATTCAAGTGAGATTTTAACTACGCCACATACTAGAAATAAATGAAAAAGAGCCTACTGGAATCAGTAATCTGATTTGTGCGAGGGTTTCCTCTCTCTATATTTTTTTGAAAGATCACCATTCCCCATTTTCGAATGGGGGATACTTAGCGAAANAAAATGTTATGAAGGTAATATGCAACCAATTAAGTCGATTTCCAGTGCAATTGACTGCTCAATAAAAGGTTATAAACCAGTTATACTACGAAGTAAAAAATTATGAATGAACAAGTTGCTCCGGAGGTTAATCGGCGGAAATGGTCAATGGCACTACTGTGTTAAATCCCAACAATTTCAAGCGCAGGTCAAAAATTAAAATCAATTAGTGAAATTAATTACATGATGAATGAATCAGTTTCTTCCCCGGTATCATGCTTAATTTACGACGATGAAGTGGATAAAATCACAATATAGTGAATTTTTTCACCGTATACTTCACGAAACCAGTTTCGAATTCTCTCTTCAAATGAAAAGACTTGTTAACCATGTGTAAAGAATATCATTCTGATGAAAATAACTGCTTTGACCCCCAGAACTCTGTTGATATTTCTTCTTGTCCGCGTTTTACTAACTTAGTTAATGTCCTACTAGTTTACATACAGAAACACATTCCATAACGTAAATAGGACTCGATTTGTGAAAAATAAACTGATCTTGTAACAGCTGTATCTAACTCTCTTGCAACAACTCTCACCACATGGCATCCTGCTGTTAGTTTTTCACATAAGTAGTCGACATGGGAATCAAATTTTAGATTTTCATCAATGTAGAGCCCTAAAAATTTGGTTTTCTCCAACTTTTAAATTTTCCAAGCGTGCTTTCCCTATGTTACATCTGACATTCTTATGTGGACAATGATTTGATCAAGAAAATTTGAGGCGGTATTGCTATGCCAGAGGATAGTGGTGTCGTCAGCGAAACGTGTGAATTTACCACTTATATCAACATGGACTGTCATTGACATAAATGAAAATCAACACCGGCCCCAAAACGGAACCTTGTATGACCCTACAGCTAATTAACCGTTCCTCTGATGAAATTTCATCGAACAGAACATTCTGCCGCCGATAATAAAGGTATGTCTCAAATCTAAATAATGTAGATCCTCTAAATCCGTAAACTTCTAGCTTGCGAAGAAGTAGCATGTGATCTACACAATCGAAGGCCTTGGATAGGTCACAAAGGTAAAGCGAATACTCTGTGTAACAACCAAGCTAACAAAAAATTATTATTATTTCAGTTTATCGTATTAGTTTGAGAATGTCCTTGCAGGAAGAAACTGCAATAACGTTGTTACGAATACAAGTGGTATAAAAATATATCAATTTATCTCCCCTTTTATTTGAAAAAATGTTGTTTGTGACCTCTCAACGATGAGTGATCATTGAGTACTGAAAATGATACCTTCTTTGGCCAATTTTGTCTGACCTTGATATCATGCTCCGTTCAAAAGTTGAGATTTTAAGTTTTAGCTTATTTCGATGAATATGCTGGCAAACATTTTCTAGGCTATAATTCGTTTGTTCAACTAGTATTTTTATTTTTCTATAAACAATATGTCATCTACTGAAAGGTTCATGAAATCACAACCCTGGATGGAACACCATTTGAGTATATTAGACATAAAGTAGGCCCCCAGAATACTTCTCTGAAGCACTCCATAATCATCATTGGGAGATGATGTGACAAATTTACATTCATTCTGGTTACTTGTCCATACTGAGATAGAAATTTCATCAGCAATGAAAATATTTCAGCAGCTTCCTTGGAAGGTAAATTACATTCATTCGGTTGAAACTTCTGATGAAAGTAATGTTGAAAGCTTCTGGAATTTTGTTAGTACTAGAAGATCCAATAACACCATACCTAACAATATGAATCATCGCCTTCTGCGTCTGATCTGTTTGCCAAGCATTTTTCATCAGTTTATACAACCCAGAATCTAAATCCTAATTTGAATGATATTAAATTTGAATAAAAACTTAACGTCTCCTCTTACCACATTTCAATTCCAACCATTCACGAGAAATTATCTAAACCTGACATGAAGAAAGGTCCAGGTCCTGACATTAACTTTATATCCTCAAATATCTCTTTTGCAGAGGTCATCGACGACTTGCACAACATGTTTGACGAACGTACCAAGAGAAAAACTCCGATGATATCAGACTTCCACCATTCCGTCATCATGAAAAACGCGGATCGTCTCAACTCGTGCATCATCTACGACAGAGACTTCTCCTACACGTACTTCGGCTTGAAAACGTTGGAGCGTTCCTACCTCCTGAGAATAAATGGCAAAATAGCTGAACGTCCTCAGCACATGTTGATGAGAGTCGCGGTCGGGATCCACGGCGAAGACATAGACGCAGCTATTAACACTTACAACTTGATGTCGGAGAAGTATTTCACGCATGCTAGCCCTACTTTGTTCTCGGCTGCCACTCCACGACCTCAACTGTCTTCTTGCTTCTTGCTAATGATGCCGGAAGACAGCTTGGAGGGGGTGAGCAAGTGTCTGTCCAGGTGCGCCGTTATTTCAAAGTCCGCGGGAGGGATCGGCGTGAACGTGCACAACATACGAGCCAAGAGCACCGAGATTGACAGGATCGCAAAATCCAATGGGCTCGTCCCTCTACTGAGGGTGTTCAACAATACGGCGAGGTACGTCGATCAGGGAGGCAACAAGAGACCTGGGGCGTTTGCTATTTACCTAGAGCCGTGGCATGCGGACATTTTGGAGTTCCTCGACCTGAAGAAGAACACCGGGAAAGATATTAATCGCGCCAGGGAACTATTCTACGCTATGTGGATCCCTGACTTGTTCATGAAGAGGGTCGAGGCTGACGGTACTTGGTCTCTGATGTGCCCGCATCGCTCCAAGGGGCTTTCCATTTGCTGGGGCGAGGAGTTTGAGAAGCTCTATGAACGCTACGAGGCTGAAGGCAAGTTCGTCAGGCAGTTACCGGCACGTGACGTGTGGAAAGCCATCACTGTATCCCAGGTAGAGACTGGTACTCCTTACATGCTCTACAAGGATGCTTGCAACAGGAAAAGTAACCAGCAGAATCTTGGCACGATCAAGAGCAGCAACTTGTGCACGGAGATTATCGAGTATACCTCCCCCGATGAGGTCGCTGTGTGCAACTTGGCCTCCATCGCTGTCAACATGTTTGTAAAGCCCGATCGTGAGACATACGATTTCCAGAAGTTGAGAGAAATAACTAAGGTGGTCGCCAGGAACTTGGACAAAATAATCGACGTGAACTACTACCCCATACCCGAGGCGAGGCTGTCGAATATGAGACACCGGCCCATCGGAATCGGGATCCAGGGGTTAGCGGACGCGTTCATCCTCATGCGCATGCCCTTCGATAGCGAACAGGCGGCACTTTTGAATAAGCAAATCTTCGAAACCCTCTACTACGCGGCCCTGGAGGCGAGTTGCGAACTAGCCGAGAAAGACGGCCCTTATTCGACCTACGAAGGCAGTCCTGTAAGCAAAGGTATCTTGCAGTACGACATGTGGGGCGTTACTCCGACAGATCTCTGGGACTGGTCTGCTTTGAAGGAGAAAATCGCCAAGCATGGGGTACGCAATTCCTTGTTACTCGCTCCCATGCCTACTGCGTCTACTGCGCAAATCCTGGGCAACAACGAGTCCATCGAGCCTTACACCTCGAATATCTACACCAGGAGGGTCCTTTCTGGGGAGTTCCAGGTTGTCAACCAACACCTGATCAATGATCTAACGGATGCCTCCTTGTGGGACGATACCATGAAGAACCAAGTCCTCGCCAACTTCGGGTCTATCCAAAACATCCCCGGCATTCCGGATAACCTCAAAGCTATTTACAAGACCGTGTGGGAGATTTCGCAGAAGGTTATTATCAACATGGCGGCGGATAGAGGGGCCTTCATCGATCAGAGCCAGAGCTTGAATATCCATATGGAGAAAGCTACGTACGGAGCGCTGTCTTCGATGCACTTCTATGGGTGGAAAAAGGGTCTCAAGACTGGGATGTACTACTTGAGAACCAAGCCAGCTGCCAAGCCGATTCAGTTTACTGTTGATAAGAGTAAACTTATCGTGAAGAACCAGAAGCATGTCAACGGAGCTCAGAATGGTGTGGCTGAGAAAAGTGAGAATGATAAAGGCAAACCTGAAGAGCCTGCGGGAGTCGGTAAATGAATCTCGATTTTTGTGCGAACGATGTTGTGATATAATAGTTTCATTTTGGAAATTATGATCATTTTTTATTGAATACTTTAGATTAATATTTATATTTGAAGAATAAAAATGTACAAAACTATAGTGCTTTATTTTATTTAAAAAAAAGCAGTAAATGCGATGTTATCTACTTTACAGTGGCTGCACGTATCGTAAACAAATGGTCACCTACAATTATGAAATCAAACGGCATGCATTCAATAATAGCAATTTTTATTGTTCTGTATGTTGTTTAAGTGTAAAATTGGATTTTATCATCTAGGCACTACCTAGAAGAATCAGTAAATATTATTTGTAAACTAGTAGAGCTGGTGGACATGAATAGAATATAATATTTTATTGGTGTTGAAATAAACATTGAGCTTTTACACAAGTCAATACAGCACAGATACAGAAATATAACTTATAAATTACACAGGTCTGCAAAAAACACTTTTTGAAAATTGCTTATGATTTCGTTAACTGATCTTTATGTAATTTTTTGCGCCGATTTCAAAAATTACATTTGTTTTTATCTATCACGTAAGGTTTGCCTACAAAATGAGGATGAAGTAATTGAAAAAGTACAAAAAAACGAGGAATTGTAGTTGTGGAATTGGCCGCGGTGGTAGTGCGCCCGACTCACGATCGGAAGACCGTGGTTTCGATTCCTGCCTCGACCAGATATTTTTCTCGAGAGAATTTATCTGGTTGAAGCTGGGATGATTCTGCAACCGTGTTAGGAATCACACGTTAAAAGGTAAGACCTCGTTAGTCCTTAGCTCGCACAAGTTTCTCAACTTCTGAGAG